TGAACATTAAAGTAATTATTATATAATACGCCACGAGTCCCAGGAAAGTCAGTGGTAAGGCTCAACATATGAGATCCCATGTAAGAATGACCATAGAGCAGAAACAGGAGATCATTCGTAAATATGAAGATGGTGTGCAGGTAGGTAACTGGCTAGGCAGTACAACAAATCTCAGTCAACGATATCCACCATACTAGCTATGAAAAAGGACAAGTGATGCATCATTACAGACAAATGTTAAAACGAATGGAAAAACAAATGTCTCTTGACAAATTTGTAGTGAGACAAACAAGCACTGAACCACAACCAGGGGCCAGATTCAAGAAGGTACTTACGAAGGTTTTTCTTCTTAGCTACGAATGTTTTCCTTCTTGGCGCCTTCGTGGCGGCTATGTCGGTATTCAGGTAGCTACACTAAGTGGAAAAACCTTCACAAGTGTGGTCCGGGATCTAAGTATGGTTTCGACCACTCGTAGCTTTACGTAAACTGGATATAACTCAATTTTTCTCTACTACATAACACTCAGATCGATTTTAAGATTTTGGAACATAAACAAAAGATCATAAAAATTGAATCTAGTGAAGAGGAGTCCTTCGTGTTAGTTATATATGCATTCTCTGCTTGAAACTTAGAGTAAATATGTCTTTTATGTTAATAGAATTAGTTTTATAACAGCAAGATATTATACCCGTAGTTATTAAGTAAATAAACACTGGTGAACATGAAATATGAGAGAAGGTGATGAGCCCTGCCTGATGGGATCATTTACTATCACCAAATGCCCCTGTTCACCTAGTAGTAAGGGTGATTGCTATACATACCCATTTCTAATTTATTTAGTTTGGTTTTATTTTGAAATTAAATCTGGGTGAGACAAAATAAAAATATGCTGCACAAATGATGTTAGGTAAGGAGAAGGGTAAAAATGTCAAAAACTTTATTCGTTGAATACTTAAAGCTATAATTATGACTATATAGACTATTAAAAGAGAGAGAGGGAAGTAGGGGTCCAAGACCTCTTCCCATTATACAATTTGGGTGTGGAACAAGTAATTATCAAAAGAAGGCACCATGCCGGGAAGGCTATGTAGCAGTAAGGCAGTGAGGTGAGGCAGCTACTTATTTGAGAAATGCTTATTTTATTTACCTTATAAGCTGAGGCAACTTATTTTATTTGAGGAATACTCAGCTGATTCCTCTACATTTAGCATGGAACAAATTTGTGTCCAAGACCTCTTCCTGTTACACAATTTGGCTGTGTAACCAAACTAGAAGTGCTCTACAAATCAAGGGACCCAGAATGTGGAATGACCTCCCGAATCATGTCAAAGGCTGTACCTCTCTCAACCAGTTTGAGTTAAACCAAGTACTGCCTAATTAACTCCATGTAACCTAACTTACCCCTAAATGTCAACCCATGTCTTGTTATTTTTTAAACAATGCTGTTCACCAACATGTGTAATTGCTGATTTATGCTATATTAACCCCCCTTTTTGTATTTTTTATTCCTTCTTTCAACACAATTTACACCTAATCCCGATTACTATTAAGTTTTAGTCTAAGTGTTTTTTCCCCAACACCTTGCCCGAAATGCTATGAGTATTAGTGGCTTTAGGTATTGTATGTACTAGCTCTGTCTATAAATCCAACATTATGTTTGTAAATCAACTGTATGTACTTTTCCTGAATAAAATGTATTTATTATTTATTTTTTAATCAGTAAGTATTAAAAGAAGGCACCAAGCTGGGAAGGCTATGTAGCACCATTGTGTGTAACAATAAACCAAATTTTTTTTTAACAAATAATGCACCTGTATGGTAAAACAAATCCTGTCAGCTGTAAAAATATTGATGCAGTTATTTAAATAAAAAATATAATGAAAGAAATATTACTGGTTTATTTTTATCCTATCTTTTGTACTGTACAGTATATCCAAGGAAGTGAAAAATTGAGACATAATGCACAATTTAATGAATGATTAGCAGTTCAAAAGAAATATGACTATTACATATCAACATGAGATCTTAATGATCCATAGTCAACATGATTTAATAAGGATAATACAGTACTATATTTGTAATAATACAAGCTATAATTTAAAATCTTTATTACTGATTTTTTTTTATTAAGAAGATTAGGTATACACAGCAATGTGCTGCTACCCTATTCTATATGGAATATTACAGTGTAGATAAAAAACTAGCTATAAGTTTATCTAATACTCCCATCTCACAGGATGGTTAGACATACATGGATCAATTTAGAAAATACCAGCCTCAATACAAAAAACAAATCAACTCTGACTAAACAACTCTAAGCAATTTTCACAAGAGGTAAGCACTGAATCATGGAAACATTATATTATAATTACTCTTACCAGTTTCTACAAAACTCCTCTCAAACAATGTATTTTTAAACATGTTTAGGTATACACAGCAATGTGCTGCTTCCCTATTCTGTATGAAGGACCACACTGTAGATTAAAAACCAGCTACAAGCTCATTCAACATCCTCACCTCACAGGATGGCCAGTCATACATGGAATTAGGAGAGAACAAAATACTTAATGCTGATCTATTAGCCTCTACTGGCAAAATCTGGATGCAGCACAAGAATATCTTCCAATATTCCTGAGTGTATGAAGTAATTACAGAGCTCAAAATACCTCATACCATTTGGTATGAAGTCACTGATAACAGGGCAATCACAGATATAGTGTTGGAGAGTATGTTCTCTCAAGTAGGACTGAAAACAAGTGTTTTTTCCACCAAGAGGGTTATAAACCCATGGAACCGCCTACCCGCTAAAGCCGTAAATGCCAAATTCCAGCTAAAAAATATCATTAAGACAATTGGCAGGCCCTTTAACAAGCCGCCGGCTTTCTGTCCTCGTCGAGGCCACTAGATAGTTAGTGGCCCTTGGGTAAATTCAGTAAATAATAAATAAATAAAATAAATAAATGTTTATTTAGGTAAGGTACATACATACAAGAAATGTTTACAAAGATTGGTTGACTTATAGGTAGAGCTAGTACATACAATGCCTAAAGCCACTATTACGCAAAGCGTTTCGGGCATGAAAATATATACAGTACAATAATTGTCAGCGCATCTTCCGAGCAACAAGGACAGCTACACAGTATCTCTTAGAATTACGTAAGTAAATAACAAATGTAACATATTTGTTTACTACAATGTCCGTGCTGCCTGTAGAAGTTGAAAAAAAAAGTTTTACTTCGAAATATACTAATTTTATAAGAAAATTTGACGTAAATAGGAGGCAGTAGAGCTCTGATAAGCCAGCGCTAAATCTTCAATATGAAGAATGTTGCTGCTCTCTGATTGGCCAAACGAAACACAGTAGTGACCTCTATCGGCACGCAGGTGAACCAACAAATATCTTCCTAAGTGGACGTACTTGAATTGCACCTAAGCATCTTCTTAGGGCACACTTAGGAACCTTCGTAGCAAACCTACTTACGAAGAAATACATGGAGCTTCCTGAATCTAGGTCCAGGTCCTAGTGGTATTCAGGCAAAACGTAGGAGAGAGAGAGTATCCCAGAGAAAACATCACTGCCTGATGTGATAATGGAAGGGAACTCCCCTTCCAAACAGTAACACCTCTCCTCCTCCCCCATCACCATCAAGAGCCCTCCATAAAGGTAAGAGTAACTTTGGTACTGTATTGTAGTTAGAAAAAACATTGTATTCAGTATAAAATGTATTTTTATGTTAATATTTTGGAGGGTGGGGAACGGATTAATTCAAATCCCTTTATTTCTTATGGGAAAATTCGCTTCGACTTCCGATCCGTCTCTGGGAACGGATTAGCATCGGAAGTCGAGGCCCCATTGTACTTAGTTTTTATCTTAAACTGGTTGAGAGGGGTACAGCCTTTGACGTGACTGGAAAGGTCATTCCACATTCTGAGTCGCTTGATTTGCAGAGCATTTCTAATTAGGTTAAGTCCACACTCTTGGAATATCAAATAGGTATTTGTTTCTGGTGTGGTGCCCATGGCTTCTGTTACAACCTTCTAGGAAGTGTTTAAGGTGTGGATTGGCATTACAGTTCAGAGTTTTAAAAATATAGCGTACACTTGAGAGGACGTGCAGTGACTGAATATCCAACATATTCAAAGATTTAAATAGGGGGCCGAGTGCTGTCTGGGACCAGAGTTAGATATTGTTCTAACAGCAGCTTTGTGTTGAGTAATTGGAGAATGTAGATGATTTTGAGTAGTTGAACCCCAAACACAAATACAGTACAATAACTGAGATAAGGATAGATGAGAGAGTAATAGTGTTACCAGGGCAGGGCGAGGTACATAATATCTGATCTTAGAAAGAATGCCAACAGTTTTAGAAACTTTTTTAGTTTCTACTTTCATCCAGTTGTGTTGCTGCTGTTCGTGTTGGTTGCTGGCTGACCACAAGCTATTCCCCCCTCCTCCACCAAATTGAGTGGGGAAGGTGGAGTAAATGAGCTGGCACATGTTTTATAACTTTGATCCTTTGTAAACATTGTTGTGGGAGTTCTGTTGGCAGTTTTTGAGGCTTTGGTCTTTTTTAAAGCCAGCAATGGTCTGTTTTGTTTTGCTGACTTTCTGAGTGACATAATAAATAAATGTCACAGTTCCCTGTGCCTCTATGGATGAGGGGGGGGGGGGGGGTTGGAGCGTCAGGTTCTGGCTATTGTTCCCCAGTAGGCCATATAGAACTCTGGGGCTGTTGTGACCTGGTAGTTGGTACACTATCAGTGATAGTAGTTTAGGGGAACCACTAGGGCTCACCCAGAAATTGGTGATTCATTACATTCAACAATGACTTTTTATTTTATTTAGTGTAAGTAGACATTTTTGTAAGGTATGATAAATAGATACAGTACATTAATAATATGGCACTTATTAAAGTCAGACATTTTTAATAAATAAAATTTAAGTAACAGGCACAAAATTATCTTATTCCAATGGGAAAATGTGAGTAAAACTAGTTACATGATATTAAGTAAATATTTCTTTTAATTACATTTGGGAAGTCATTCCACAATTTGCATAGCATTTATGCTTTGGCCGAGTCTCACTCTAGGAATGTCAAAAAGATATTTGTTTTTCGTAAGGTGCCCATGAGTTCCATTACAGCCCTCTAGGATACAAATTATAAACACCTTGCAGTTTGCTTTTAATGAGTACATATTTCAAAAATTGTTCAGGGGAGTTCATCTTGAGATTTGGATTATCATATCCATCTGCCTGTCCTATTCATCACAGTATCAATAAATATGTTAAATTTTAAGATAAAATTATAGTTATGTGCAGTTTTGTATTTGCAAACTGAGCAACACGAGTATGTTTTCATGCAGACATTGTCAGTCTAGTGGCACTGGTACAAGAATAGAACCTCTAACTTCAAAGTCAGGATGAAATGTGCTTGCATGCTTTCTCAAACTGCTTTCAAATCTAAAGTCAACATTACATAATGGGCAATGGACAGGTTTCTCTCCTGTGTGTGTCCTTACATGTAATTTCAAACTGTGAGCCACAAGAAAAGAAGCATCACAGTAAGTGCACTGGTGACGTCGGACATCAAGATGAATTTGTTTGTGTTTGGCCAGATTTGCACAGCATTTGAAAGTAAGAGTACACAAATCACACTTAAAAGGTCTTTCTAACATATGAGTATGTTCATGTCCTTTAAGGTGATCTAAACGGGAAAAAGATTTACCACATTCTTCACATCTAAATGGTTTCTCACCAGTATGAACTTTCTGGTGAGATTTTAAGTGAGCTTTCTGTGAGAAAGCCTTATTACAAGTTGTGCAAACATAAGGTCTTTTCCCCTCATGTACAAGCATGTGCTTATTTAAACCATCTTTTTGTTTGTAAGCTCGTAAGCATATGTCACACTTAAAAGGTCTTTCTCCATTGTGTGTTCTCATGTGTCGAACCAAGTCACCTGACGAACCAGACTTGTGACCACATAGATCACATGGGTACAATCTTTTACCATTTTTCATGATTACATTATACTTGAATCTTTTATTAAGTTTCTTACCTCTTCTCTTTCGAGATGCTAATGGAAGATATGACTTTAGTTCAGTGGTCCTAAATATATCTCTCTGAACTTTTTGTGTTGCTGCAGTTTTATCTGGACCACTTTCTTTTTGAGCAGCATTTATTTGGTCTACAACATTGTCTGAAATCTGGATTTCACAACTCATTTTCACATGTGCATCTGATTTCTTGATATTTGCCCTCAATATCTTTTCTGGTGTTTCCTGCCTAAAGGATTCCATGGCTCTTCCTGTTATATTTCTCATTTCTGGTGATGGAAGATCTGTACTAAGGAGCTCTTCTGTACTTCCACTTGTGGCATCACCACCACAAAATGAAGAAATTTCTACAGAGGGCAATAATGAGCATAAGTTAGACTTACTATGTGTTCGACCCTCCATAAAGGAAACTGAACATTGAGATGCTGGATCTATTACATCTGTATCTAGAATATCTAACTCATCCAGATTCAGTGAATGCATGTTGCTCTCATCTGGAATATTTGAAAACATATAAATTTCATCGTTGGAACTTTTACAAGGCATTGAGTTGTCACAGAGTTTGCGATGCATGTTTGTATCATCAAATCCCAGAAAGTCATTATTTTCTAATTTGTCTATTTGAACATACTGGCATTTACCAATTTGTGACATATTCTTTTCACCTTTCTCCTTACTGGAGGTAAATCGTAAACCACTGCTTCTATAAAAAAATTTCACATTCCCTCTCCTAGATGTTTTTTTACTGCTATCAATGAAATCGCTTTTATAAGATGTAATAAATTGAGCTGAAACCTCACTATCATCTATTGCAAGAGTAGAAGCCTGTCCCATGCTTTCTACAGAAGCTTGTTCCCTGCTATCTGCAGACCCTTGTCCCTTGCTTTCTGCAGAAGCCTGTCCCTTGCTTTCTGCAGAAGCCTGTCCCTTGCTTTCTGCAGAAGCCTGTCCCTTGCTATCTGCAGAAGCCTGTCCCTTGCTTTCTGCAGAAGCCTGTTCCTTGCTTTCTGCAGAAGCCTGTCCCTTGCTTTCTGCAGAAGCTTGTCCCTTGCTTTCTGCAGAAGCCTGTCCCTTGCTTTCTACAGAAGCCTGTCCCTTGCTTTCTGTAGAAGCCTGTCCCTTGCTTTCTGCAGAAGCTTGTCCCTTGTTTTCTACAGAAGCTTGTCCCTTGCTTTCTACAGAAGTTTGTCCCTTGCTTTCTGCAGAAGTTTGTCCCTTGCTTTCTGCAGAAGCTTGTCCCTTGCTTTCTGCAGAAGCTTGTCCCTTGCTTTCTGCAGAAGTTTGACCCTTGCTTTCTGCAGAAGTTTGTCCCTTGCTTTCTGCAGAAGCCTGTCTCTTGTTTTCTACAGAAGCTTGTCCCTTGCTTTCTGCAGAAGTTTGTCCCTTGCTTTCTACAGAAGTTTGTCCCTTGCTTTCTACAGAAGTTTGTCCCTTGCTTTCTGCAGAAGCTTGTCTCTTGCTGTGTGTAAAAGCCTGTCCCTTGCTTTTTGTAAAAGCCTGTCCCTTGCTTTTTGTAAAAGCCTGTCCCTTGCTTTTTGTAAAAGCCTGTCCCTTGCTTTTTGTAAAAGCCTGTCCCTTGCTTTTTGTAAAAGCCTGTCCCTTGCTTTTTGTAAAAGCCTGTCCCTTGCTTTTTGCAAAAGCCTGTCCCTTGCTTTCTATAAAGGCCTGTCCCTTGCTTTCTGTAAAAGCCTGTCCCTTGCTTTCTGTAAAAGCCTGTCCCTTGCTTTCTGTAAAAGCCTGTCCCTTGCTTTCTATAAAAGCCTGTCCCTTGCTTTCTGTAAAAGCCTGCCCCTTGCTTTCTGTAAAAGCCTGCCCCTTGCTTTCTGCAAAAAACAATCTCATGCATTCTGCACAAGCCAGTTCCTCGCTTTCTGCAGAAGTCCATCCTTTCCCTTTTGCAGAAGCCTGCCTCTTCCTTTTTGCAGAAGTATGTCCCTTGCTCTTTGTGGAGGCCTGTCCTTTGTTTTTCTTAATACCATGTCTCTTGTTTTCTGCAGAAGTATGTGTCTTGCTTTCTACATTAGTCTGTCTCTTGCTTTCTACATTAGTGTGTCTCTTGCTTTCTACATTAGTGTGTCTCTTGCTTTCTACATTAGTGTGTCTCTGGCTTCCTACATTAGTGTGTCTCTGGCTTTCTACATTAGTGTGTCTCTGGCTTTTTACATTAGTGTGTCTCTGGCTTTTTACATTAGTGTGTCTCTGGCTTTCTACATTAGTGTGTGCCTTGTTTTGTACATTAGTGTTTCTCTTGCTTTCTACATTAGTGTGTGCCTTGCTTTTAACAGAACCATGCCTCTTGCTTTCTATAGAAGTGTCTCTCTTGCTTTCTATAGAAGTGTGTCTCTTGCTTTCCACAAAAGTGTGTTTCTTGCTTTCTGCAGAATCATTAGATTGCACTAAATCATGCTCAATAGTTTTTGTCAAGGTAACATACTGCAGAGAATCTTTTCCATTACATTCTGTCAAAGGAGCACACACAAATGAATTTTGATTATCATCTTCAATAGGAAGATTTGGCTGCACTAAATCCTGTTCCTTTATTTTGTTACAAATAACATGCACTGAACTCTCTTCATTTTCATCTGCCAAAGAGCCACACAGCAATGGGGTCTTACCATTATATTTTACAGATTTAACAAACATTATTAAACCTTGCCCTATTTCTTTGGATGTATTGCATAGTATTACATCACATCCATTTTCTCCAGCAGAGAGAGAAGTCTGCAATATAGCCTGTCCCATTGCCTTATATTTAAAAGAAACAGATGACTGCGCTAAATTCTGACCATTAACTTTATCAGACATGGAAGATTTTGCTAGTTTTGGGTCCTGCAAATTATCTACACAGGTAGCATTTCCTCCTACAGAGGGAAGTGGATTCTGTCTATAAATGCTTTTAGAATTTACTGATTGCACTAGATTCTGTTTAATATTTTTTACAGAAGAAATGTACTGCAATTGATCTAGTCCATTATTTTCCATACTGGAAATATCAGATTGAGCCAAATCTGGTTGTACTATATTATTTTTATTTTCTTTGATAGTTCGTGAATCACACACTATATTTTCATGTTGCATGGACTCAATATCTAGATTATTACAGATATTCTTTATACTTTCACATGACTTGACTTCAACTGAAGATTGGCTGTCATGTGAATCTAATTTATCACTTCGTAGAAACTCAGGAAATGCGTTATTGTCGTGCAGTGTGTTATTACTTTTTATAATCTGCAATGCTTTATCAATGTTTGTGTTAGCTGGTGCTCTTTCATCTGTATTATTATACTTAAACTTTTTATGAAGAGCTTTATTTATGCATCTCTTTTTAACTGTAATGAAATTTTTATATTGAGCATGACGAGAAGAATTTTGTCCTGGCACAGATGCAACATACTCTGGAATGCTATATGAAACACTGGCCTCGGGTTGAAGACAATCAGTTGTATTTAGGTCATTTTGTTGATCTGTATCTTTGGAAGACTTTTGACATTCAGAATGCAAAAATGGTGTTGTATTTCCATCCATTTGCTTACTTGGACTTAAATCTATTTTACATTGATTGTAACATTTGCCAAAAACAGATCTCTTTCTCTTCAAGCACTTTACAGACTCTCCAGCATCTCTGTTTTGCTTTTCAGTTACATTTTGAGGTTCGTGCACATTGCTATAATTCTTCAGGTTGTCCTTGGCATCCTTGCATCTACTACTTTCATTACATTTTTCAGCATTATCCCTACAAAGAACACTGTCACTTTCATCTCTGCTATTTGAAACTAATGCTGCGTTCTCATTTCCTTTCTTACCATTAAATGTAGTTATGTTTGGGGAATTTTCCTTTTCCTGTCTGCTGCCATCCTTATTGCCCTTAAAACTTGATTCACAAACTTCTTTATGTAATTTTTTCCCACTGGTCTTATCCACATCACTGATACTATCTGTATAATTTTCACTTTTCTCAAAACTCAATATTTTTAGGGGAGAGTCTTTTGGACTCTCATTAACTTCTGCATCATCAAAACATGGCTCATTTAGCAGGGAGCTTTTAGAACCCTTTTCAACTTCTATGTAATAAGAGTATGGAATCTCATGTTGGTTTACCTTATTATATTCTCTTTCTTTTTCCTTTATTTTAATTGCTTGCACATTCCTGGTTCTATGAGCAATAATAGGGGGAATACTTTGTTTAATATTAAACAACTCCTTCCCAACTAAACCAATGCTAGTAAATAGCATATTACGGTCAAATGGGTAAAGGATTCTTTCTGGATCACTTGTGCTCACTGGTGTTTCACAGCTCATCTGCTTTGCACAACAGATTGCACAACTGTCATTCTGATCTCTTGCAGATATTTGCATTTTATTCTTACAGAAACAGTTACCATCAACTACAGACAATCTCATTACTTCTAACATTTTACTTACACTATGCTGTTCATCATCTTCCTTCTCTTTATTAAGTTCACTTTGAGTATCATCATCATTACAATGGTTTGTACTGTAATGGTTGTTTTCATTAAACAATGCAGTGGAATCGTTTATACTCAAACTATCAATATTATTATTTATAAGAAGAGAATCTAGATTGCTATAATAAGAGCTGATACTTTGACGGTTAAACTGCAATTCATTAACTGCATCGCTTTTCTTAGTATTTGTACTTGCAAGTGCTGACTTTGCAAGACTCAAATTGCTCGTCTGTATTTTCCTCATGCAGTCAACTATTGAGGATCCAGGGGGTTTAGATTCAGTAGCGGGGTCCTGAGGCTGACTTCCTTTCCTGTTTACTTCCTTTTCTACATGTTGTCCAGGAGAGCACTTATCAATTTCTTCGACAACTTTCCCACTGCAAATTTTTGGAAAAGTTTCAACAGGAGACTTTGCTCCTTTCCTTGAATACACTGACAGGCTCTTAATATCTTTGGAAGATTCTCGGCCAGATTTCGCCACTGTACCTGTCACTATATTTACGCGTTTAGCAAGTTTGCCTGAAAATAATTTTCCTCTTCTGTTTTGGCGCTTACGCTTGCTAGAAACTTTTGACTTTCTACTATATGCTTTTGCCAGATTCTGTTTAAAGGTTGTCTCTTCAAAAGTTTCCTGATTATGTGATGTCACTGATAATTTGTTGCACTGGGATTCAAGTGGACTACAAAAATCACAATCATTGTAACTGGTGTTGTCTTTTATAAAAATGTTGTGTGAGGGTACATCTTTAGATATATTTGTAACTAATTTTGATAATGATACATTACTATTTTCAGGGTATAAAAGATGGGAATCTGAAGCATCATTATCATCACCAACAGTAACCTCAACAGATTTTGGCCTTTGATTCATGCCACTACTGTACTCATGATTAAGCTCTTCTGGCACCGCTGACACCATGCTACCTTTCACATCACAAGAATCGCTAGATTTAGGATTAGTATTACAGTTATTATTATTATTCTGTAAACAATTTGCCTTCAGAGTTGCCTCACCACATTCATAATAATCTTTCTTTTTTCGTTTTACTTTTCTCCGATGGTAGATTAAGAGAGGCCTCCTACAATGTGTGCCCGTGTCATTGTCCATGATATCAATCAATTTTGGTTCATTGCATAACTCATCATCTTGACCAAAATCTTTTAAATTCAGTATTTCCTTGCTATTTTGAGAGGTCAATATATCAGAACTGTTATTACCAAAATTACCTTCAACAGCTACAGATTTTGGATTGGTTGTAGCACTATTGCCAAATTCTTTTTCATGAGCTTGTACTTTTGATATTACCACATTTTTTTGTGGTAAAAGTATACAACCATCATTACCCTTAATTAATTTTGGTGGAGGATGTGCTTGTTTACCGTAATTTTGGTAAATTTCTTGTGTTGGTGCTGCTTTTCCCTTCTGGACACAAGATGTGATGGAACCACAGCCAATATTTACCACAGATGTTGGCACTGAAGTCGCCTTACTTTTATATTCTTCGCTAGAGACCTCTAGTGATGCTATTGCTACCTGCTTTTTAGGTGGAGTTTGTTTTGGTTTAATGGCGATTTCTTCCAAAATTTCTTGACTAGGGAATTGAGATGCTTGTATATCTTTATTGCCATATGGATTTGATTGCAATAAATAAGTGCCAGAGATATCTCTAATTTTCTCTGATAATTTAACAGTTACTTCTTTAGAAATTTTCTTAAGAAGATTTTTTACTTTTAAACTTTGTATGTATTTTTTTGTTTCAGAGAGTGATGTATCAGGAAGAGAGCTGGTGCTTTTACACTTCTGCCTTGCTTCCACAATGTTTTTGTCATTTACAGACGCATATCTGCTGCTAAAAGACTGTGTGGTTTGTTTTGTAGCAGAAATATTTTCTACACCCAACATACAATTGGGAATGTTCTGTAAAAGTGGAGTTGTGTCACAGGGTTTATCTTTGATACTCCTACTAAAAATTTTGCTTTCGCTGTTGTTAGTCTCATCTTTAGGTGATCTATCAGCAGACACATTTTTAGTCCCAGTATCTGCACTGTTGTATAATATCTCACACTCTTTATTTTCTGCTGATATTTTTACAACATTGGCAGAATAATTATAGCGGGGACAGCGTTCAGCACTGGCACTATAGCTGTGTTCTTTTAAGACCTCATCCTTTCTTCTCCAAGAGTACAAAGGTTTACTGGTGTCCATCTCTTCTTCTGTAACAACCTCTTTACTTTGTTTTGGAGTAGAATTCAAACAGTTTGGAGCAGGTTGGCTTGAGTCTACAAACTGAGGTCTTAAGACCTTCCTATGAATGTTATTATTTAGTGAAGAGAAAGAACTACACGGCCTCTGAATTCTAAAATCATCAGTTGGCTTTTCCATTTTCTCTTTTCCTTGTTCATTTGAAATCAGATTGTAATTTGTATTGCCATCGTTATTTTTTTTAATGGACCGGAAAAAATCACCATTTATCTCCTTTGCTTTGGAAGATAATTTATGTGAAGCTCCAGAAGGCATGAAAATATAACCACCATCTGCCCATATAATGAAATTATCAGATTGATAATTTGATTCACCATTACCTCCTTCAGTAGTTGTGCTTACTAGAAAACACCCGTTTCCCACATTAGTCACAGTCTGTGTTACTGTATTTGCTCCACTTTTTACATTACGTTTATTTACTTTTGAAGGAAAGGTTCTGCAAAACTTCTGAGTTTTACGCGTCAGGTGATCAGTGGCATTCTCAAGTCTCAATTCATTTCCATTTAGACTACAATTGGCATTTTGTTTACTTGTTTCTACAACTGGTTGACTGTATACACTAGGTTGATTAAAAGGTGGAACAACTGACTGCTGATTTGCAGGGGAAAAGGTCACAGATGCATCTGTATTTTCTCCTATCACACGGTTCACATGATCTATGATCTGAGCGTTATTATAAGATGTACGTGGAACAGACACAAAACCCCTATTTTCTCCAGTCATGCAATTTGGATGATTTATGGCCTGAATGTCAGCAAGAGATGATTGTTGACCCTCTGCGTCGTTTCCACATTCTGGCCTAGTAATTGTGTGTCGTGTTAACTGCTCAGCGCCCGCATTATTGCCATGGCCCACCACTCCAGACTCTTGGTTATGGATGCTTAATGTTGATTCCCTCTCAGTAATGTTGATAATCTCTGAGTATTTGCTTTGCTCTTCATGTTTGTTATGACATAGTATTATAATGTTTTTTTTAAACTTGTTCTGTTTTCCAATTTGATTACAACAAATATCTGGCTTTCTAGTTTCTATACCTTGTAAATTGGTTGATTTTGCATTATGAAAGTTTGAATGTTTACTGCCTAAATGCCCTGCATGTTTTCCATGAAAGTTCTTCGGATCCATTTCATTAGCTGTATTTCTGTTCACAGAAGCCTTATCATGGTTACTGTAACTTGGCATTGTTTCATTATCTGAGTCAAGACCACTAAAGCAGATTTTTGTCACTACCTCAGTTTTCACTATCACTCAATGGAACCCTTTCACCAAATTCCTCAACCAATTTATTTTCCCCTGAACAACACTGTGTTTTTACCGGGCCAAACAAGTGCTCTTCTCTTGATGGCAAAGGCTGCAGCTTAAATCTGAAAAAAAAAAAGGCCATCAGAATAACTTTACAAACACACAACTTACCACAGCATGGTAATGTGCTTAAAGGAATGAAAAGTTTAGTTATGTTGAGCCCCCCTTGAGAAACTTCTGCTATGCCCATACCTTAAATGGAAAGCTCCCAGGAAAGACCAAAGGCATCAGGACTACATATACACATGCACCTCTATCATATCCACCGAGGCATTGGGTTGAGTTCAAGAGTAAATGGATAACTAATTTTTTTGGATATTATGCATATATCTGTTAGAAAAATTATATTTATATAACTGGACTTACCTAACAGTACTTTTGGTCCTATTAACCCTTAAACCACTAAGGTCCTTTTTGCCTTCAACACCTACTGGCGCATAAATAAAAATCCAAAAAATTCTTTCGTCTTATAAAAGTGTTCATTTGTGTTCCCTGATCACGGGAAAAATAACAAAAAAATCGTAGGTAGCATATTTTGGTCGCAATAGGGTGGGGAAGTCTGGCAAAAAAGAGGTGTTGACAGAGCAGGCGCCAGGCGAGGTCTGCTCCGCCCCCAGCTGTCAGGTGGGGGTTGCTACAAAGATATTATTACCTAATTATTTCAATGTCGCTGATTTATTTTTTTCTTTGCTTTTGCAGTAATATTATTCAATAGTGTGTATTGTGATATATTTATATAATAAAATGACAGAGCAGGCACCAGACGCGGTCTGCTCCGCCCCAGCTGTCAGGCGGGGGTTGTTAAAGATATTATTACCTAATTATTTCAATGTTGCTGATATATTTTTTTCTTTGTTTTACACATGTTATATATACATATCTGCATGTTTTGTTCACCATAACAAACCACTAAGTTGGTATTGTGAATCAAAAAGCAATGAGAAGTGGCCGTCACACCAGCCAGCCAGCCACTCGCCACCACTCCCACACTCACCTCATCACTCGCCAACATACTCCTCCCACCATTCTGTTTTTGCTTTTATTCACCATACAAAGACGTTAAATAAAAGTATCTACATATTTTGTTCACCATAACTGTACATCTAAGCTTGTATGGTGAGTTCAAGCAATAAGAGACGTAGCTACACACACACAGTCAGCTGGTGGCTGCTGCCGTCACTGGTTCAAGGCCAGACACACTAATATTTCTCCTCCAACAATACTGTTTGTGGTGTTATTGCACTATATACACACATTACATGTAAGTATCTACATGTTTTATTCACCATACCTGTACAAATAAGCTGATATGGTGCCCAAAGACCATAGTGGCCACCAGTAAACAACATGACATGTCATGCAGACGTCGCACCTCCCTTGCCAAAATGGCGGCTCCCAACATACTCCTATTGCTGTTATTACACACTACACACACATTATATATATAAGTATCTACATTTGTGTTCACCATAGCGAACCACTAAGCTGGTATGGTAAGTCCAGTCAATAAAAGGTGGCTACACAGTCAGAAGATGACACCACCACCTTCCCTCTCTCAGCATTACTCCTCCTACTGTGGAGCACAACACTAAATATCACCACAATTCTGCTATTATCAGAATCTGGTCAGTTTTATCACAAAGGTCTTCTGTAATACTATCATCGCTAAATAATAGCATGTACATATATATTTTGACATTTTTAGGCGATGCTGTGGTCACAAGCTCATGCTGTGAGTGCTGTGAGCTCATGCTGCGTGCGCCAGCCTTAGTGGCTCGATCAGTACTGAGGCTCCCACACTCGGGAATGTTGCCCTTGATTTTTTTTCTAGGTGGCGTCTGTTAACTATCGGTCATGGCTGGACTATAGCTGCCCCTATCCCATGCGGGGCATTTAAAGTCTAGCGCTAGACACTAAATCAGCTATTGATGTATTGAGCGGCATCAGTAAAGTTACTCACATCAGCTATATATATGTATTGTGCGGTCTAAGAGTTAATATGGAGATGGGAAGGTTTTAGAAGTAGTAAGAAGTGTTACTGGTGAGCAACTGAAGTGGGTTCACTGGAATCTTAGATTGAATTTTGTACAACGAGTATTAGTTATTCACACAATGCACACATATGGATAAACCCAAATATGTAAAGAACTGCAATATCAAACCTGTGGATACAAGGGGTATGTGGATGGATTACTCATTACCATCAGTAAGGTATAAATGTCTGTAGATAGAGAGCAATGTTATGACTTCACAACTAGATATTTCAGGTAACCTGGTTGATACCTGGTTGATGGGGTTCTGGGAGTTCTTCTACTCCCCAAGCCTGGCCCAAGGCCAGGCTTGACTTGTGAGAGTTTGGTCCACTAGGCTGTTGCTTGGAGCGGCCCGCAGGCCCACATACCCACCACAGCCCGGTTGGTCCGGCACTCCTTGGAGGAATAAATCTAGTTTCCTCTTGAAGATGTCCACGGTTGTTCTGGCAATATTTCTTATGCTTGCTGGGAGGGTGTTGAACCACCGTGGACCTCTGATGTTTATACAGTGTTCTCTGATTGTGCCTATGGCACCACTGCTCTTCACTGGTTCTATTCTGCATTTTCTTCCCTACTGTTCACTCCAGTACGTTGTTATTTTACTGCGTAGATTTGGTACTTGGCCCTCCAGTATCTTCCAGGTGTATATTATTTGATATCTCTCTCGTCTTTTTTCTAGTGAGTATATTTGGAGGGCTTTGAAACGATCCCAATAATTTAGGTGCTTTATCGCGTCTATGTGTGCCGTATATGTTCTCTGTATTCCCTCTATTTCAGCAATCTCTCCTGCTCTGAAGGGGGTGTGTGAGTACTGAGCAGTACTCAAGACAGGACAACACAAGTGACTTGAAGAGTACAACCATTGTGATAGGATCCCTGGGTTTGAAAGTTCTCGTAATCCATCCTATCACTTTTCTGGCTGTCGCAATATTTGCTTGGTTATGCTCCCTAAACATTAGGTCGTCAGACATTATTATTCCCAAATCCTTTACATGCTGCTTTCCTACTATGGGTACATTTGATTGTGTTTTATACTCTGTATTATGTTTAAGGTCTTCATTTTTACCGTACCTGAGTTCCTGGAATTTATCACTGTTAAACATCATGTTATTTTCTGATGCCCAGTCGAAAACTTTATTAATATCAGCTTGAAGTTTTTCAATGTCTTCAGCCGAGGTAATTTTCATACTGATTTTTGTGTCATCTGCAAAGGATGATACGAAGCTGTGACTTGTATTTTTGTCTATATCTGATATGAGAATCAGGAAAAGCAGCGGTGCAAGGACTCTACCCTGAGGTACAGAGCTTTTAACTGCGCTTGGACTAGATTTTATATGGTTGACCGTTACTCGCTGAGTCCTGTTTGACAGAAAACTGAGTATCCCGAGTCCTACTTTACCCCTTATTCCCATTGACTTCATTTTGTGTGCTATCATGGTCACATTTATCAAAAGCCTTCGCGAAGTGCGTGTATATCACATCAACATTCTGTTTTTCTTCTAATGCCTCAGTGACTTTGTCGTAGTGCTCAAGTAGCTGTGAGAGGCACGATCTTCCCGCTCGAAATCCATGTTGGCCTGGGTTGTGAAGGTCATTGGTCTCCATGAAATTGGTGACCTGACTCCTAATCACTCTCTCAAATACTTTTATTATGTGCGATGTTAGTGCAACTGGTCTACAATTCTTTGCCAATGCTTTGCTCCCTCTCATGTGAAGAGGGGCTATGTAATTACCTAAGTGTAGTTACAGGATGAGAGCTACGCTCGTGGTGTCCCGTCTTTCCAGCACTCTTTGTTATATAACGCTATGAAACTACTGACAGTCTTGGCCTCCACCACCTTCTCACCTAACTTGTTCCAACCGTCTACCACTCTGTTTGCGAAAGTGAATTTTCTTATATTTCTTCGGCAAAGTCAAAACCAGAAATGACCAACAAGAAGCAGAAATTAGGCAAGCAATTAGGAAAGAACTGGTAACCAACAGTAAACTGGTACAAAACACTGCAGACAGAAGTAAGTCCATAATCATTTTTGGATGTTTAGAGAAGGAAATTTCATCTAGGGTGGACCGAGCGGCAGAAGAGATGAAAATCATAGAGAAAATAGTAGGTTTAGGAGAAGGCTCAAAGGAAAATGTCAGTGATTTTAGAAGAATAGGAAAATATGAGAAAGAAAAGAACCGCCCCTTAAGGGTGACGTTTAATGGAGTGAAAAACATGATGGATGTGCTAAGAAATGCCAGGAAATTGCAGAGTGATGAGGTTGGCAAACTTTGGTCAATAAGACAAGACCTCTCCAAGGAAGACAGAGAAAAGCTGAAAATGAACCTAATTGAGGCAAAACGTCTAAATGGGGATAGAAATGAAGAAGACAAATTCTTTTTTTTACAAAGTGACAGGGACTGGAAAGCTTGTGAAATGGTACATAAAAACAAAGCAACAAGATCAGTAGTGGAAGGGGGAGTAAAGAGCAAAGGAAAAGGGAACATGTTCTTGAAAATTGTATATACCAACATAGATGGAGTGAGGTCAAAAACTTTGGAGTTGCAAGATATAATCCAGCTTAGGGTCCCAGATATTGTCGCATTATCAGAGACGAAACTTGAAGGAAATATAATAAATGAAGTCATATTCCCAAGAGGCTATTCAGTTTGGAGACGTGACAGGAAAACTAGGAAGGGAGGAGGAGTGGCTGTACTGGTGAAAAAACACCTGAAGGTAAAAAGAGTTAATATTTGAAAACCCTCGAGATATTGACATAATGGCAATGCAGGTCTGGAATCAGGATGATAAGCTGATAATTTTAAATGCCTACAGCCCACCAGCAAGCAACACATGGACAAAGGAAGAACTAGATGACAAACGAGAGGGCCTCATAATGGTCATGAGAGATATTATTGCACAAGCAGATAAAGATAAATCACGACTGTTGATACTGGGGGACTTCAACTTTAAAGCAATAGACTGGGAGGCCTATGAAGGAAGAACGGAGGACTTTTGGACATGCAGATTTGTGAACCTCATTCTGGAG